AAAAAAAAAAAAAAAAAAAAGCAAAATAGAATATGATAAAAAAAATGTTTAATAACACTAACAGAATATATATATGAATACAGTTTTTGAAGCTATTCTGTTTTCGTTTTTCTTTCTTCCTACTGCCCCTTCTGCTAGTGCTGTTGTTGTTTTCCTGCTTTTTATTGAAATGCTGTCATGAAACTGAAATAAGAATAAGTTCGGAAAAGCTTTTAAGTGTTTAGACTTTCAGTATGATGATGCCGATGATGCCGATGATGATGATGATGATGATGATGATGATGATGAGGATGCTGATGATGATGCTAATGATGATATGACATGCAAACTAAAAGTCAGGAAAAGGATGGAAAAACCAAAGTAAAGTATATACTACAGCTATGGAAACTTTCCAAATGTAATTTGCGTGATTTTTGCTCCTTTTTATTTTCATTTTCAATTTCTATTTTTTTTTTCATTTTGCCACTGCAGGAAAGGATTAGAATTTTGTTTATGGATTTTGAAACGGATAGAAGAAGAAATCTGAGCTTATCAAACACAAAAGGGTTGCTATGCAACAGTTTTCTTGCAAGGAAAGTGTTCGCTATGCGTTCCACAAATCTCCTTATGTGACATTTGCGATTTTTTTTCTCTATTCCCTCACAAGTAAAACTCTGTTTGCTGTTTCTTTTTTAAATTTTTATTAAAAATTATTATTTTTATTATTTTTTCTTGCCCTTTACCGTTTCTTAAGAATAGATAATAAATTTGAAAAGTGTTTTTTTTTACATGTTTCTTTTGAATTATGGTGTTATCATCTCTGTTAGCTTGCTTGTCCATATGCTTTTTCTTGGCTTGTTTACTGGTTTTCTGTAACTTGAGACAGCATGTTTGCCTTGTTGATGTTTTTGACGGTGGAATAAAATTATGAAGAATAAACAGTTGAAGTTTGGCGGTAGCGAGATTGGTAGTTGACGGTAATGTGTAGAAGAGGTACGAGCATTAAGAATATGCGATGACAAAGTGAAAATTGTCAGAATCCAAAGAGCAGCAGAAATGCAGAATAGTGGGTGTGAAGAAAGAGACGGAGGAAATGGAGCAGACGTGGGGTGGTGAGGAAGGAAGCTTAATTTAGCTCAGGACCTCTGTGTTTGTATGTCAATAAGAATTGCTAGTTATACGGGGCGGTTTAAGGTTAGTGTTATACTCTAAAGCTATACCTATCCCTGTTACAGCATTTGTAGCATTTATGAAGGTATTTAATGACTAGAAGCCTATCACAGAAATAAAAAAACAAACTGAAGCATTGAAGTTGCTATGCGTTGTAACGGTTAAAACAGTGATTTTTGACTATTGGGAAGCAATAAGCGGTAATTTTTTTAATATGCTGGTGAAAAGGCTACTTTTGTGCCACAATGCGCTGACAGATAAAGTTTGCTGTTTTGTTGATGATGACTACCGTCTATTCTTTGTTGAATTCAAATTGGCCCTTACTGTGTTCCAAAAATGGGCAGTTTATGATGCGATTA